TGCTATGAATACGGATTTAAAGTCAATTACTCGAAGACAAAGTAAATCGCGTCTAATACATTTGCATGATAATATGGTAGAAACAGTTTCAGATTTTAAGTACCTAGGAACCAGGATAATGTCGCTAGACCACTATATTGGACACCAAGTCGAGGACAAACAAAGCCAGATTCCGATACCATCAGCTAACGAAATTATGGTCGTCCAACCAAATATCCACGAACCAAAAGATATGACTCTTCAAATTCAACACATCCAGGCCTTTATAAACAAATGTCTAAGAAGAATCACTAAAACATACTACCCATACAACACCTCAAACTCAACTCTCTGGAATAGGTGCGACATCTTACCTATCAATCGACTCATTCCTCTGAGGAGATTAGAATTACTCGGTCATTGCTTAAGACATTCACAAGAAAATATGATATTTTCGTCCATGAAGTGGACCCCAGATTATGGGAGACAGAGAACTCCCAAATACTATTGGCTGGCAAAATGTCTGAAGGATATGGACTTGATCAACCTTTTGTTTAAAGATTTTTTGGCACTCAGCAAAAACAAAAAACAACATCTACAACACATGCTTAAATGGTCTAAACTAGAGCAGCAATCGTAGAAGTATTGACTATTCTCGCACCGTTTTATTTCCAACCTCTTCTCCCGGCATCGGCACGGGTTATATAGGAATTATGGATTGAATGAAATAGGATGAGAATAATTAGTATTTTATTAAATTGCCCCCCTCCCCTTTATAACTCCTTTCCCTACTGGATAAACGATTTTGACGAAGGCAGTGATGACATCAAGACCGTGAATAATAATAATAATGATAACGATTCCGGGTTCACTATAATAATGATAATGTGGTAAATAATGAGGATTCCGAGCTTGCTTAATACAAGCAAGAATTTATGGGGATACTATTGACTCTAGAATGACAAAAATAAATGAAGGTAAAAAGAAAGAAAAATCAGACAAAGGTAGTAAGCTCTTTAGGATAATGGGTTTCAGGGATTGTGATTACAATTACAGGAAAGTTGGATGCCTCCGGAATGGGACACGCTATATAGACATAACGTTATCTTCCAAGGATATACTTACCTAACATAAGAATTACTTTTTTTCCATCTCTTAAATATTTAAACAGGCGTCAGGTACATTATTATTAATATTGGTTACAATTTCTTAACACTATCTTGCCGGTAACGGAACTAATAGATCCCCTCTTCTTTACTATGCTAGCTGACTACATAGTGGTACCGTCCAATATAATAAAACGGGTATACATTATGTATAGGATCTATATACTAGTGAATATACTTGGTGCACGCTATAACTCCTGGTGGGTGATGAAATTGCACTTGTGCAATTTCTGGCGTGGTAATGAATGAATTCATTTCTAAATTTTTTTTAAATAACTAAAGCTAGGTGCCCCCATTTTATTAGTGATAGTTCACGTCATCCAACGTGTCCTATCATTTCATGTTTATACGCCATATTTAAAAAAATGATAGTGAATATAATCATTCAATTTTTAACCGATTTCGATAAAGTGCCGTCTTTTTAAGCGAATTTTTTTAAATCGATGGCCGAGGAAACTACCTCTACTGACTTATTAATGGAAATGGTGGGGTTCGGTTCATCCGGTGGTAAATATTATTTTATTTTAATCATATTTATTTACAGATATAACTTACATTAAAGAAATTAAGCTTAAAATCAGCCATCACCCACCTTTAAAGTAATTAAATTATATTGTAGTTCTCGGGTATAGGCTTTTTCTTTGTCCCACTCCTTCTAAATTAAAGCCTATAGAGGTTTAAGCAACATTTTTCGAAATGTTGTGCCTACAAGTACGTGCGGCTTGCCCACAAACGTGTGGAGGGCTCCTCATATTTTTATTTTTATACCCAAATTAAATTGTTCCAATTAGATGGAAATGAGGAAAACCTAGCGTAGCTCTGTTGAATCTTCAACGTTAGAGGGCAAAAGCGCTATATATCACGTATCACGTAATTTTTAACCATATGATTAACTTTCAATTCAATTGATTTTAGGACGATTAGAAGACTCAACAAGTTTCTAGTAATATTGATAAGTAGTTGTACTTATTAATTTTTATTTAATCATATGTTTATTTCTAGACTCAATGAATTAAAAATTAACGATGAAATGGATTCTATATATTCTTAATTCATTCTATATTATTGATGTGGTAATCCTGTGGATAGATAAGATTATTTATATTTTCTTTTATAATACTCATAACTAAATCTCATTATTACAAAATCGGAAAGAGTAGTTTCCACACATTTTTGTTAACTTACAACTGGGTACAGGTTTGTTGGTATCTTTGAGATAAAAATCGGCATAATTTTATGAAGGGGGGTGTTCATAAAATTTACGTTCGCTCACTTTGGACAGATCTATGACCAAAGTGTTAGATAAGATAAGAACTCAGATCTCTAATAGGAATTTACTGAATCTGATATTATAAAGGTAAACATTTTTTATTTATATATATGACCAATATTTAGAAATTAATTAAGGTAAAAAAATTATAAATATTCTAAAATCTACAGATACTGCTACAACCTCTTACCCATACTATCAATCTACCCCAGCCTATCCACACGATATTGGTAATTAGTTTAATACAAAATTATAAATATTCGAAAATTTATAGATGCTACAACCTCTTATCCATACCATCATGCTACCCTAGCCTTACAGGGTATCCGCAATTATACAAAGTAATATTTTATCTTGATTTAAATAAAAAAATATATAACTTCATATAAGATATTGACATGATTTTGGAAAGAGACAAATAACAAAACATGATGAAAGTAGGTTATTATTTGTAGTTATATTTTTGAATCATTTCTTTTATCATTTTCCAATTTAAAATATGATCAAAAATATTTTTTTTACTATTTTAGATAAAGAGAATATGGAGAGCAAAATATGTATAACTTTTTTAACATATTGATAAAAAAAAATTTATTATAAAAACTAAAATATCACAAGAATAATATTTTTAATATATTCGGTACACTAGGAGATAATGATATTTGTTTCAATAATTTTGAAAATATTCTTTTAGAAAATACATTTGAAAATAAATCAATTTAAAAAAACATTATATGAGGTTACATTGCAAAAAACAAGGTTAGTTTTAAAAAAAAAAGTTAGATTTTACAAAAAAAGGTTAGTTTTAAAAAAAACAATGTTAGAATTTACAAAAAACAGTTTTTTTCTAACAATGTTATAATTTACAAAAAACAGAGTTAGTTTAAAAAAAAACAATGTTAGAATTTACAAAAAACAGGTTTGATTACAAAAAAAAAGGTTTGTTTTAATAAAAGAATGTTAGAATTTAAAAACAGATTTGTACAAAAAACAAGGTTGGTTTTAATAAAAAAAATGTTTAGAATTTACAAAAAAACAGAGTTAGTTTTAAAAAAACAATGTTAGAATTTACAAAAAACGGTTTGATTACAAAAATATGGATAGTATTTACAAACAGGAGCATGTAGCATAAAAATATGTAACATACCCCCAAACAAGGGCACGTAGACTAAAAAATAATTATCTATTTACCACCAAATGGGGGCACGCAGCCTCTGCCTTAAATTACCGCAAAATGTAAAATAATTTATGCTATATTCACCAAAGGCAGTATTTAACGAATCAATATTTCAAAATCTTGCGATACAAGAAAATGATTTGTATTTTAAAAAAATCGCTGCGATTAGCTTTTGCGACTCAAGTCGCGCGATTGATAACTATAAATGCGATGTGATATTTATTGTTTAATCGCGCTAAATTGCAATCGGGCACTATGAATTCAAGGTTGATGATCAAACATAATTTTAGTTATACTTATAAAGATTTAAGGAATATGAAACAAAAGTAATTAATTAATAACAAAATCTTTTGAAAAATATTAAATAATATCTACAAATTTTATATTAATAAATAATAATATAGGAATTATCTTCCTTAATTTTACTTTTGTGTATTAGATATCCTTCTAAATAAGAATAATTAACTTGAAAAAAATTAATATTATATTCATAAAATTTTTTTTTATTTGAATTGTTAAATTCTCCAGCATTTTGTTTGAATGAATCTGGTAACCCTGCTCCTAGCATTTATATTTTTAAAGATATAAAGGGCCAAAAGTAGCAAAAATGATGCATTTTTAGTTTCACCTTTATTGACCATGATTCAATAAGTTATATCTTATCCTTAATAATCTTTTATAAAAATTGTAAATTTTAATTTTCTTATAAATATATTTATCAAAGTGGTAGTTAGTGTTGTTAAACAGATTGATATGAACTGATTTTCAAAAACGCCTAACTCAATATTCTATCCAAAAAAATATTACACAAGCCTGAAGATTTTTCTCAAAGATGGCACATGGTCAAATATTATTGAAATCTCAAGGCTTATGCATTATTTAACTGGCTAAAATATTGAGTCAACCATTTTAAAAATATTGGCTCAAATCTAGTTGTTTAACAACACTAGTGTTGAAGGGTGATCATCAGTTGGATCAATTACCTCAGTTAAAGGAGATATTAATAACATTTGCAATAGCAGTAAATGTGTTATCTTGAGGAAAATACCTAGCTATACCACGAGGAGTTAACTCATGATGATAACTTGTTAATTCAAAATGGATCCATTGCTTAAAGGGTTGGCTTGACAGTCATTTTGTGGTTCAAAACTTGTTTAATTTTTGCAAGGGAACCCAACCCATAAATTTAACAACATTAGAGAGGGGAGATGTAGAGTTATCTTATTAGTTTGTGAATTAAAACCTTGCTAATACAATTTATATATTTTTAAAGACATTTATTACATTAATAAAAGTGTTAAATGAAGAATGGTTTAACCCATATGGAAGATTTATTTCTAATTCCTCTAAATATATTATCTTATAACTGAATTATGCAGAATAATAGTATTTTAATTTATAAATTTACCTCAGCTACTCCAAAATCAGTGATTTTTAGAGTTTCATTACAAGTTAGTAATAAATTTCCTGGTTTGATATCTTTGTGTATTATTCCTAAACTATGTAAGTATTTAAGCCCATATATTATTTGAGTGAAATACCTTAATTTTTTAAATTTCAATATATATATACATATATATTTATTTAATTATTACCAATGAGCCTGCCATAAAGGAAATTTTTTATCTGGTACAGAATCAAGCATTTCTTGCAATCCTGTAACACAATATTCTAAAATCATATATCTAAAATATAAAATTAATGATATTATATTGTTTAGTGTACATTTTTTGTTTTTCTTCATTGTATAGCACTTCAATTAAATTGATAATATTGTCATGTTTAATTTTTTTTAACAAATTTATCTCCCTAATTTAAATTTAAATAACAAAAAATATGAAACAATTACATAATAACATTTTGATCTCCATTGGGAATTTTCCTTAATTTGTGTTTTTTTAATATTTTACAAGCTCTCCTACATATTGTTTCACAGTCAAAAACTTCTTTAACTTTTCCATATGAACCTTCTCCTAAAACATCTCCAATAAGGTATTTACCAATTAATTTTGCTCTCTTGATTTTATTTTCATATATAACTTGTGAAGAATCAATCCTATTTATAAAATTCATCTGGCATACTACATTATCGTGATTCAAATTAGCCATATGGTTCACGTGGATACAGTCAGCTGTAAATAAATCCATAATGAATAGATGGTTAGGGTCCACTAGATGTATGAACATTTGTGAAAAAACCTCAAATGACCTAAAATGGCCACAAATATATTTGAAGCGATTATAAAATTGTATAACTTTGAAACGTTGTAACCAATGATATATATAACATAGATTGGCGATTCATTCATTAAAAACGTCCTCACATTGCAATCAGCTGTAGCGCCATGTGAGGACATTTTTATCATGCATTTAATGAATGAATCGCCAATCTATGTTATATATATCATTGTTTGTAACAGATTTGACAAATAAATTAAAAAATGCTTTTTATTTTAAATTAAATTTAAATGGCTAAATGGTAATTAATATTTATATTAATACAAGAACAGTATATATTAAAAAATAAATAGCAGATAATTTACAATATTTTAGCAAACTCTTAATACTCTAGATCCATTTATATATAATAGACAGCACAATTGTGTTATAAATATATCTTTGATATAACATTATTAAAATTTATATCAAATATCTCATAATGAAAATTTTAGTTAATATATAAAAATGCAATTTCTTTTTTTTGCATGATAATGTATAAATTGAATTAAATTTTTGTTAGAATAGATAATATTATTGTTGTTTTTTTGCATGATAATGTATAAATTGAATTAAATTTCTGTTAGAATAGATAATATTATTGTTGTATTTTGATTTAATAAACTATATTGAACCATTTGATTATTAGAATTTGAATAATAGCTTTGTTTAAAAATGATATAAATAGCAGACAATTTACAATATTTTAGCAAACTTTTAATACTCTAGATCCATTAATATATAATAGACAGCACAATTGTATTATAAATATATCTTTGATATAACATTATTAAAATTTATATCAAATATCTCATAATAAAAATTTTAATTAATATATAAAAATGCAATCTCTTTTTTTTGCATGATAATTAGATAATATTATTGTTGTATTTTGATCTAATCAAACTATATTGAACCATTTGATTATTAGAATTTGAATAATAGCTATGTTTAAAAATGATATAAATATCTAAAAGATACTATTTACTTGGACTAATGGTCTCCGTAAAATATGCACTCTGTTTTGCCTAGTTTTCTAAAAAAAATTAATTATTATATGCAAATTAAATAATATATACTTTAATTTATAATTTTCTTAGTGTTGATAATTGTTGCGATATATCTTTAATCTCTTGGATTTTCATAATTATTTTGGGAACAAAATACTTTGGGAACGAACTATTGCAAATTGGCTTTTTTTTGGGACGAACTATTGCAATAAGACAAAAAACCTATTTCCTAAATTTTCATACGAATTAGAGGGACGATAACGAATAGATAATAGCTCAAACAAGGAATGTTCAACTGAAGGATATTTTTTAAAATGAGACGAAGTATATTTAAAATTAAACAAGTATCTGAAGTAAGGGGTAGATTAAAATTTAGGAGATATGTCATTTAATGAAATTGTTAAAATCATAATTTAAATTTTTCCTTAATTATCTAGAATCTTTATAATTTTAGAGCTAACCTGTAATTTTTCATTTATGCATTTTATATTATCTGTGCTATTTTTTGAATGTTTAATATCTTGGTGTAGCAATTTATCTATAACCTTTTGTCCCTAATTATATTAGCACTCATTTCCAATAATACTCTATTTTCCCTTTTAACGTAATTTTAATAATACTCTACTTCCATTTTAACGTAATTTTAGAGCGAACGTATTTATTCTAAAATACTAAGCATGTATACAGTATTGTTTATTGATTATGTTATTTTTCTAGCTCCCAAAAAAACTTCTTTTATGGTTGTTTTGATCTGATTTAGGGGATCATCCCCTCATTTTCGCTGTTCCCCCTCTACTTTGTTCTACTTAGGGTTTATGACCATGGAGATTATTTTATTTCTCTTAGCAAGCAGCGGCAAGTTATACTTTATTTGTGTTCCTGGCCTTGGTGTTTTCTTTACCTCTCCCTTGTTTCTGCATTAATCTGAGTTGATATAACCACTGAATTGGGTTTATTCGATTGTAAGTTAACTTTCTGTAACAGTTTTAATCACCTATTAGTTTGCTAACCCCTTTCACACCTCTAAATATCGTAGTTTCATGTCTCGAATCAGAAATTAATCACCTTATAGTAAACTAACCCCTCTTACCCTTCTATAATTAACATCGTAGTTTTATGCTTTCTCGAGACGCCATTACGTTTCTGAAAGACATCCTTTTTCTTAGTTTCCTAAAATGTAATGTTTTAAAGTTCTATTTTATTTTATATGAAAGATATGTTTTATTTCCTTTCAAATAAATTTTTTCTATTAAAATGTATATATCAAACGTATATATCAATTCGGACTTCTAGTGTGTACACCGATATGGAGAACATAATTTATGGCAAGCTAATAATCGCGTCGCTTAATATAAACGGAATGAAAAACAATTTAGCAATGTTATTAAGAAATATTGAAACGGATAAATTAGACATTGTTGGTATTCAGGAAACCCACTGTCCAGAAAATAATACTGCAGACTTTAAAGATTTTAAGTTGTTTTGCTCTGGTACCACCTCCAATAGCTGGTCTGCAATAGCATTCCTAATAAACAAAAGGACGCAAAAATCCATCATTAAATTTGGACCCACCCATATAAAAGATGAGGATTACTCTATCTTTACACAAAATTTAAGCCTACGATAGTTGCAAATATATACGCCACCCCCCAAGGAGGAATGATATATTGGGATTTATAGACACAATGACAAATATGATAGACTCGTTGCCATCAATATATAATATCATAATCTTAGAGAATTTAAATTTAAAAATTGGTAAAATTGTAGAATATGTTAATAATAATACCACTGGACACGCGACAATACAACAAAATTATAATGTAGATAGCATAAAGCTCCTTCTTGCAAAAGTAAAAATTACAAAATAGAAAATACTTTCTTTTACCATAGAGAAATAAACACATACACCTTTGTAAGAGTCAATCAGTCCCGTATAGATTTCTTCATCTCTAATATCCATATATCGTGGTTCAATGATGTTAAAGTTTCTACTCATGTTAAATTGTCAGATCACAGGATGATGGTATCGAAAATTACGATAAAAAATATATGGGGTTATCACAATAAGATTAGTCAAAATCAACGTCTACATGACAGGATTTTCAGTGGATGCAAACCCCTTTCAAAAACCTTTGCCTACCTCCATAAAAAATTCCACCGCGGCGGCAGTGTCTGTCTATATGTTTTCACCTTTTTAATTTATTGACACCCTTTTCAGAGAATTTATCTAGGATAACTTAAATTAATCTATCTTTACTAACAACTATCGATATTTTGTGAATATAAAGAATTTATTTTTTAGATAATAAATTCAATTAAAACCTCCATTATTTAGAATGAATTCTTTATTATGGCATTATGAGCTTGCTTAAATATCTAAACCTTTTAAATTACATTTAAAAGGATAGCAGAAAGATTTATATAGAAAACAATGTGTATGATTGTTTATGGTCGATGAATTGTATTATAATAATTCTATAATAAAAGTATTAATTTTTACAGTGATAAATTTTGTCCTATTTCATCTCGAAATTTAATAGATAACCCCCCAAAAAATTTATCCTACCCCCATTAAAGCAGCCTATCCTCTATCCCCTTCAATAAATAGGATACAAACTGTTCCTACCCCTCCTGCTCATGTAGACGCTGGTCAAAATCTATCTAGACCCAATGCAAATTTTTTCTAAACAATCCTTTCACGTAAACATACCAAAGCATAAACGCAGGAAAATACATTGCTTTTTAATCAAACGTTAGTCAGAAGAAGGGTCAACTTTCAAAGTGTAACCTTGCACGGAAAGGTGGATGAATGTTAAAGTCTTTTTAAAAAAGATATTGCGGAAATCTATAATACGCTGCCAAACGTAAATATCTCCTCAGGAAAAAAATGAATGTCTACTGAGACATTAGAAAACATTAGACAGCTCAGTGTAGGAAACGACTTAAATAGAGGCTTATGGAAAGATATACAGAAACTGCTAAGGACATATAGAAGAATCTACGTTGCAAGAAAGGTCTTTGAAATTTATAAGGACATGAAGGAAAATAGGATTTATGATGCCTACAAAAAATTAAATTTTTTCTGTAAACCATATAGTTTTAAGAAACTTCTTTCCTTAGTTTTAGCGAATGAGAAAGAAATCATTGACCAAGAAGAGCAGATAATGGCTAGACTATTACATGATGGTTTTTGATTCTAGGAATGCTGTCAAGCAAACACATAAAACCTAAAGTAGTTAAAAAATTGCGGAAAAATAAAGCTCCAGGGCTAGACAATATTACAGCTGAACATCTAAAAATGGCGTCCAGAACAGTATCTTCCTTCCTTCTATCCCTTTTTATTAATCTGGGAAAGCGGCAAAACTCCAGTAGGAATAAATCCTACTGCAGTATTATTTAATTAATTTAAGGGTGGGTTTAGGATGCTTTTAGTTTTAAATTTAAGGTATTATATTTCGACATTAAATTTTGAGAAAAATACAAAATATTTGATTTACTTTACCCATTGGAGGCACATGTTATGGTTTATGGAATAAATTTAGAGAAAATTATGTTTCAGATTTTATCGAGCACAGAGGATGTGAAAGCAACAGTACGATAATCAGTAAATTTTTTAGAATCTTTGATTTTAGAGAAATTACACAGAAAGGATTTATTCCTACTGGAGTGGTGTTCGGAAAATATAGTATTTGTTTATTATATTCTTTGAAGTTGACTAAACAATTGGAAGTATTAATTCTAAAATCTATCCCAATATCTGTGCATAAATCCTTTCTGTGTAATTTCTCTAAAATCAAAGATTCTAAAAAATTTACTGATTATCGTACTGTTGCTTTTACATCCTCTGTGCTCGATAAAATCTGAAACATAATTTTCTCTAAATTTATTCCATAAACCATAACATGTG